GTTTCTGAAGATTTCGGGAGAGGTTCTTAGCAGAATGGAAGGCCTTCCCAGTCAAGATGATCTCGAGCAAGAGAAACACCTTCCTGATATCTGATGCAGCCTTATAATCCTCCCTAGGGGACAGCCAAAAAGAATCCAGTATGTGGGCAACAGAAGTCAAGGTAGCAGATGAAAAACGAATGTCTTGTGCATCCATAGGATGTGCTGCTTGCAGAAATAGGCTGGTCCAAGCCCTGGTCTGGATGCCTGGCTTATGTCTGTGAACAGTAAATGTGGGGTCTGGTCCCACGGGGGAAGGTCGACAGTAAATGGAGGGGGTCGCCCGCCAGTGCCACAAAGCTGGTGGGGATTGGGACCAGGGTGAGATATTCTGGCCACGATACTTCTTTGTAAAACCTAGGTAGTGGCAAAGCTGGCTTTGCTCATGTTGAGTGCGATGCGTGGAGGAGAACTGGAAAGCTCTCTCGGGTGATGGTGCCCTGCTCTGTGATATTCAAGCCTTTTCACAGAAGTGAGCCTGGGAGTGGGGAGGGATAACTTAACGAGCCCTTTAGAAGAAGGGCAGCATTAAGGGACTGCTTCTCTCCTGTCACCCCTCAGAAATATCACAGCACTAACACGATGCTTGCAGCCACCACTCGTTGCCTTCCCTGTCTGCTCAGAGAGCTTCAGCTGAAACGTCCCCCACCTCTCCGGGAGCGCAGACCTCCCAAAAGCAAAGCCCTCTGTGACACTACTCTTGCCAGTGTGTTGTTTCAGAGAGAAGAGGCAGGTTGCCAATGCCAAAATGGCATTTGACATTTTTAGAAGGAAACATTTCAACTTTTCTTTTCAGCACTGTCTTCTGTTCCTGTGAATTAGAATACAACTTTGTTTTCGGACTGCACTGTCTCAGACAGTAGAGGTTATAAAATAGGAGTGCAGACCGAGCAGATCATTCTGATCACCCTCAAAGACTCCTTCAGTTCCTTTCCAGGAGAATCTCATAAAGTCAGGACGGCTTTGGGCCTTGTCAGAAGAAAAACAAACATTGGAGTATCAAGGCTCGCAAGGAAATGAAACGCCCACTCTCTGCACAGCTGGCTTTCCGTGGCTTAGATTATCAACCCTTCTCAACAACAGCTGTGTACAGATCTGTTCATATATAGTACCAGTCACAAAAATGGAGCTCTTAAATAGTATCGTAACAAGGATACTATCGTAACAAGGCACAAACAGCAGTAACTTATGCTAGGATAGCTCTGACCCAGAGTTCCCTTAGAAAAAGAGCCCCTCAACAGCCTAGTGTTAGCTGGGAAGGAAATGTCCCAATTTGAGCCTCTGTAAGACCTAAAAAAGAAAAAAAAAGAACATTATCTTCTCTGTGACTTCTGCTGGCAGGAGATGTTAAACCATTTATTTATAACTATCTTCCCGAAATGCTTCCCTGCTTGGAAGCCAAACTACAAATCCTGCTTGGTTTGTTGTTTCTAACCAAAGGATGCCAGTACGTCTGCTTCCAGCTGGCAAAAAGGCTTGCAGCCAGTGCCAGGCTTTGGTGGGAATAGACTTAGTTTTCAATTAGTGCTAGCACAGATCCGAAGAGTGAGCCTTTTATCAGGCAGAGAGCAGTGTCTTCAGAGTCAGGGAGAGCAAAGACGAGATAGCAGATGCGTATCACCAGCAAGCCAGGTAGGTGGCTGTGCTACGAGGAGGAATAACTGTGCTGGAGCTTGAAAATACCAGGAGAAAAGGATCAGTGTAAGAAAGAGACAGGTAGGAAATCCACCCTGACAGCTCTGAGTGAAACAGCAAAGATCACCCATAGTCAGGGAGATTGCTTAAAAGCTGTCCTGGGAACAGCTGCCCTGACACCTTGCAGAAGGAGCCAGCTGCAGGGCTCTCCCAGCATCTCCACTGAGAGGGCACCCGGCACCGGCCCTGCTCTGGCCCTGCTGGGCAGGAGAGCAGCGCCCGGGAGCGGGGCACGCCTGGGCTGCTGCGGAGCAACCGGAAAGACCTGCTCGTTCAGGGTGAGCTCTGCCAAGCAGGCACCAAAAGACACCTGCAGCAGGTACCGCTGGTGGTGGCAGGCAGGCACATGGTAAGGCGATACATGGCAGGACTTGGCTTTGAGTCAGAGGGGATTTTGGGGAGGGCCCAGGCTAGCAGAGGACACCGCCTCCGCTCCCAGTCCTGTGCAAGTCAGCTAAGTCACTGGATGCCGTCTTTAAACTTGCATTTGATATAATTCCGTTAGTAAACACTACATACTCTTTGCTACCATTTTATTGTATTTGTTTTGCTTTTTATAGGGTTTTCTATTTCATACACTTAGGCCTGAGTATTATATTGACATGAATGTTTTATGAGATACACTTCATCTAGGTTATTTAAGAAAACGACAGCCCCGTAGTTTCTGAAACAAACCGCCTCGTGGCTGGTTAGCGAAGTGGTTACCGCCCGGAGAGCCCCCGAAGCCAGACGGCGGCAGTGACAGCCTTCGCTCCTGGAGCGGGACGGGGCGCTGGCGCGCCGGCCGCGGCAGACACGCAGCCTTGGTGCCGGGG